GAGCCCACTTAATCTTCTTAATCCTTTAACAAGACATAACGGAATAAGAGGATTGCATTGTTCTCACCTCGTAAATATTCATGACTTCATATTTTGATTCTGATGCTTCAATTACTGAACGTGGACACGCATTTTCTCAATTGTATTTTTTTAAACACCAAACGACAATTCGTTGTATTTTTTTTTTACTTTAACATTTTCACAGTAAATCGTGAGGTATTAAAAAGTGTTGCAGATTAAATTAACACCAAAAAAGATTAAAATAATCAATTTTGGTGTTATTTTTTACAATGAATGAAATTTTAATTCATTAAATTTTTTATAACTATAAAACATGAAGATATCGATAACTCCGAGTCTTCGACTCGGAATCATCGATTTCTTCATATTTTATAATAATTAAAAATGACCAAAAGTAATAAAATCATTATTTTATATTATAAGAATATTATACTTCTTCAAGATTATTTTCATTATTTCAATTTAATTATTATTTTCAAAAATTTTTAACTACAATTTTACTTTATATCAATTATTTTTAATAATTTTCGAAAAAAGTTCTCAAATACATTTGTTTACAATATTCAATTTCACGAAATTTCAATTATTCCTAAATTCTTTAATTAAATGCATATTAAAAAATAAAAAATTCAAATAATATAAAAGAAAATTCAATTAAACTTTTTCAAATTAATTCATTTTGAAAATTCAATTATTTCTAAAAATTCACGCTTTTAATATTCAATGACAATCTAAAATTTTAACTGAAATTCATTTTTATGAAATGAAAATCAATTTTTTATTAGAAAATTCTACAAGAATTTAATTATTTAAATGCAAAAGTAAATAATTTATTAAACAATTGAATGTTTCTTAAATTTCAATTCTTATAAAGAATTTCATCAACAAATTTATAAATAATTGAATTCTTTTAAAATTTTATTAAAACTTGCAATTGAACATAATTACTTTTTTTCAATGAATTCAATTATAATTGTATGAAAAATAATTGAAGCGCTGCGATGAGTTTTATTATTAGTAAAAATAATTGAATCCTTAAGAAGAATTTTATTACTTTTTAAAATAATTGAATTTCTGCAATAATTTCTAACTTCTCTAAAATTAAATTTTTTTTAAGTGAGTTTTTAACTAAAATTCTTCAATAAATCCATTATTTTTAATAATTTTTAAAAAAAAGTTCTTTGAGAATTTTCAAATTCATTCGTTTACAATTCAATTTTACAAAATTTCAATTATTCGGAAATTCTGCAATTAAATATATATTGAAAAATAAGAACTTGAAATAATTTCAATGAAAATCCTATTAAACTTTTAAAAAGAATTAATTCTACAGAATTGTTTGTCAAAAATATGAAAAATTAAGAATATCAATGAATTTAATTTGAAACTTTTTTAAAATTTAATTTATCTAAAAATCCACGTTATAATGCTTGTAATATTTAATTATAATCTAAAATTTTAACTGAAATTCATTTTTATGAAATGAAAATCAATTTTTATTAGTAATTTCTACGAGAATTCAATTATTTAAATACAGAAATAAATAATTTATTAATTTCATGTTTCTTGAAATTAAATTCTCATGAAAAATGTTATTAACACATTTTTTAAATCATTAAATTCTTTGGACGAATTTTAATAAAATTTTTGAGAATAATTACATTTTTCGAGGAATTCGATTAGAATTGCATTAAAAATAATTGAAATTATACAATGAGTTTTATTATTTATGATAATAATTGAATTCCTAAAAGAATTTTATTATTTATAAAAATATCAGAGAAGAATTTAATTATTTATAAAGAGAATTGAAATTTTGACGAGAATTTTTTTGAAATTTTTGAACACAATTGAAGTTAGTAAATATGTTATTAAGTTAGTTAGTAAGTTAGTAACTATGTTAGAAACTAACTTACTAACTTACAATTCTCCCTGGAGAAGCTAAATTCGTTGATTTTTTACAAATCGTTGACTCTGGTGTTTTATTTAAGGGCATTTGAACCATTATGACGTCACAGTTTGTTCAAAGCAATTGTTCTAAATACGTGACGTCATAATGGTTCAAATTCCCTTAAAGTAAAATTTTATTCATAGTTAAAAATAACACCAAAATAGATTATTTTAATCCTTTCTGGTGTTAATTTAATCCTAGAGGGATTAAACTGTTGCAGATTATTTTAATCCATTCTGGCGTTATTTTAACACCTCACGTTTTACTGTGTTCCCTTCTTCATTGCAATGTAAAAAGATTATCGATTTAGAACCGATTTTTGGTATTAAAATGGTTATTATAGTTCGATTTTATTAACTAAAATCAGTTCTAATTTAGTACTTTCTTTTTACAGTGGAAGAAAGAATATACTTTTCTGATTTTTTCACAATTTTCTTGAGAATATTAAATTGATACTAAAGTGGATGAAATTGATGCCGAAAAAATTAATTTTTTATTTCATCCTCATTTTTTGTATCAATTTGTTGATTATAGCAATTCGATACTTTTAGGTTAAGAGTGTTTTTATTTTATTTTTGATTTTGATTATAATTTTGATTATAGTCACATTTTGATTTTCTATTTTAAAAAAAGTATTTCTTCATTTACCTGTAGATTATCTCTAGCCTTCTCGGTTTATTGAAATGAAAAAACTTTCATCACATCTTTCTATGAAATTCCAACTATACAGAAGCTTCGTGAAAACAGATAAGGGAGTAATACGACTTGCAACACGAAGCTCCTTCTAAATGTATAAAAGTTAGTTCTTAGTTGAAATATCTACGTTCACACTGTAATGACTCGGGTGAGATCTAAATTGATTTAGTGCGCAGAATATTCATTGTTTGCATTTTCTTTTTTTAAGAATTAATTTTCAATTTTTTACCTAAAGGTCAACTCTGAAATTTTTTTTCTACTTTGAGTTTCATTTTCTCTTTCATTTTCTCCTTCATTTTCACTTTTATTTTTACTTTCATTTTCACTTCAACTTTGACAGTCTTACGTTATGCTACTATTTCGATACTTTTTTCGATTTCAGCCACTAAAAGCTACTATTTCTGTTTTTTTTTTTTAATTTCCACTACTTTAATTTCGTTAATACTAGAAATCAAAAAACTATTCTCAAAAAATATAATCAAATTCTTTAAAACAATTCAATTATTTTCAATATCTAGTATTTTCATAAAACTTCGCAAAAGAATTAAATTATTTTTAAAAAATTGATAAAATTTTTTACAAAATTCAATTATTTTCAAAAATAACAAAATTTTTTACAGAAATTAAATTCTTTTTAAACATTTTAATAAAATTTTTCGCAATAAATCAATTATTTTCATAAATAATAAAATTGATGAATTCAATTTATTTTGAAAATTTTAATAAAATTCTTAGCAACCATTCAATTATTTTCATAAATAATAAAATTCATCGCAAGATTTCTATTATTTTTAATACAATTTTACAGGAATTGATCAAAAAATGTAATTATTCTTAAAAATTTAATTTTAATTTCTCAAAACAATCAATTATTAAGAAAAAATGTTTTTTTTAAATTCTTTGTCAGAATTTAATTATTTACAAAAATATTAAAATTTATCACAGAAATCCAATTCCTTTTAAACATTTTAATAAAATTTTTCGCAATAATTAAATTATTTTCATAATTAGTAAAATTCTACTTAGGAATTTAATTATATTTTTAAATTTTAATATAATTCTTATCAACTATTCAATTATTTTCATAAATAATAAAATTCATTGCAAAATTTCAATTATTTTTAAAATAATTTTACAGGATTTCCTTAAAAACTGTAAAATTATTCTTCAAAACTTAATTTCAATTTCTCAAAAAAATCAATTATTAAAAAAAATGTTTTTTTTTTAAATTCTTTGTAAGAAATCAATTATTTAAATAAATAATTCTTCGAAAGAATTCAATTATGTCGATAAATATAAGAAAATTATTCCTGAAAATTCAATTATTTTAATGCATTTTAATAAAATTGTTTGCAAAATTCAATCATTTTTATAAATAACAATATTCATCACAAGAATTCAATTATTTTTAAATTAATAAATTTCTTTTGGGAAATTTAATTATTTTTAAAAATTTCAATAAAATCGTGCTCAAGAATTTAATTATTTTCAAAAATGATAACATGTTTTTTAGGAATTCAATTATTTCCTAAAAAATTTATGATCCACAAGTTTTGAACGTTCAAATGAACGAAACACTTTTTATTAGAAATGTTTTTATAATTTATTGTTTGCAATAAAAATTAAAAACTTAAATTTCACACTTAGAAACTTTATGTTTCATTTATTTTATATCGACAAAAAATTATTGTAATAAATATTTAAATTAAAGAAGAAAATAAATAAATTTCGTTCATTTGAACGTTCAGAACTTTAGGATCATAAAAATTTAATAAAATACCACATGAGACATTAAATTATTGTCAAAAATTTTAATAGAATTCTTTGTAAAATTTAATTATTTTTAAAAACTTTTCGCAATTCAATAATTTTTCAATATCTACTATTTTCATAAAATTTCCAAACAGAATGCAATTATTATTTAAAAAATTTGTTGTAAAAATCTTCGTAAGAATGCAATTCGTTTCATAAATAATAAAAATTGCTTAGGAATTCAATAAAAAGCGGTCATAGTGAAAGTGAAAATGATAGTTAAAACAAAAGCCCTTTTAAAAAATGTTACAATTATAATAAAAGTCCATGAAAGTGAAAATGAAAGGGAAAACAGTAGTCAAACCGAAAGTGAAATTACATAATCGACCTTCATAGCGTGAAGATGACACGTGGGTAATTTATGACCCTATTTCACAGCTTATTCATCATTCCCCGTTCGAAATTAATTTTTCGTTAAATTCGTAATTCGATAAATTATTTAAATTATAATTAACCTAAGAATTATATTCCCACCAACATTGTGTATACAAACGATGTTCCAAATTGACAAAGTACTTACCATTTCCCGTTGCCGTCATTAATCCACTGCCCAACTGCCTCAACTTGCTGAACGTTGTTCCACTCTCTTCCGGTGTTACGGATCCCGTGCCAGCTTCCGGTTGGTTCGCCACCATCTGCGCACAAAAATATCGTTTTTATATATAAAAATTATATTAAAAATAAATATTACAAAAAAAAATTACAAAAAAAATACAAAAAAAAAATAATAGAAGAAAATTACTAAACCATTCGGAAAAGATAAAAAGTGAAAATTTTTTTTTAACGGATATAGTGCCTATTAATTTATCAAATCAGTATTGTACCTACAAAGTAATAAATAACTCTTTTACGGATGTTAAATAGAATTAGCCGCTCATTGATTTTTCATTCGAATGGAAACTAAAAGGGTATGAGAACGTCAAGTAAATAAAAATGAACAATAGGTAATTATAAGGCTGCAATCTCTGATGGTAAAGCGTTGGTCTTGTGCAATCAAGACTTGAACTTTCATTTAAAACTACTCTGTGATTCTCCTCGCTTTTCACGTCAAAAATATCATTTCCAACTCTCTCTCTCTCTCTTTCTCTCTTTCTCTTTTTTCTCCCTCTTTTTATTTTAACAATATTTTGACCTCTATTTTCAGGTTGTTTTCTCAAATATGGTCACATTTTAGAGAGGGATGGAGAAAAAAGTCAATAGAACATGGCTGATTCTTCTAAAAGTGGTATATTTGATGTGTTAATTAATTTCATAAAATCTACTCTCTAAAAATTATTATTTACCATTTTCGTATTGTAAAAATTTAAAGTAACAAATTGAATCAAACAGTAAAGTAACGAATAGAATCAAAAAATAAATTAACGAATATAACCAGACAATAAATTACCAGCAGGCTTCGCACTCATCTACTAAAACCTAATATTTACTACTTTCTTATGTTATGCTACTATTTGGTTTTTTTTCCATTACTTTACATTTATCCAAAATTCAATTATTTTCATAAATAATAAAATTTCCACAGGAATTCAATTACTTTAGAATAGCATTTTAAAAAAAAATCCGAAAAATCAATTACGTATTTAACAAAATTGTTATACAATTCTTCACAATAATTCAATTATTTTCACTAATAATAACATTTTTTATAAAAATTCAATTATTTAAAAAAATTGTTAATAAAATTCTGAGCAAAATTATTCTTAAAAATTTTATTTCAATGTCTCGAAAAAATCAATTATTTACAAAAATATTAGAATTTTTCACAGAAATTCAATTATTTTTAAATATTTTAAGAAAATTGTTCGAAAGAAATCAATTACTTTAAATACAATTTAATTTAAATTTTTTTGAAATAATTCAATTATTCTTTTGGATTTTAATAAAATTCTTTCCAAGAATTCAATTATTCACATAAATATTTCTTCGAATGAATTCAATTATTAAAGATAAATAACAAAATTATTCCCCAAAATTCAATTATTTAGAGTGATTTTAATAAAATTCTCTGCAAAATAATATTCATCACAAGAATTCAATTAATAGAAAAATTCAATTATTTTCACAAATAAAATTTTCCACAAAAATTCAATTATTTAAATTTTAATAACATTTTCATAATATTTATTATATTTTGAAAAAATTATTATTTAAAACAATGTTTATAAAATTCTAATAAAAAATTCAATTATTTTCAAAAATAACAAAATTTTTTACAGAAATTCAATTCTTTTTAAACATTTTAGTAAAATTTTTAGTAATAATTCAATTATTTTCAAAAATAGTAAAATTTGTCGCAGGATTTCAATTATTTTTAATACAATTTTACAGGAACTACTCAAAAAATGTAATTATTCTGAAAAACTGAATCGAAATCGAAATAAAATAAAAAATAAAAATCTACAAAAGTGAAAATGAAATTGAAAATAAAAATCTACAAAATTCAAATGAAATTTAAAATAAAAATCTACCAATGAAGTTATGAATAAAAGACTAATTAGAGTGAAAACGAAATTCAAAATCAATTTTTGCCAAACATTTTTTTACCTTTTATTTTCATTTTTTATGAACATAGTAAGAAAAGTCTTATTTTCAGACAGAAAGTTCTAAATTTAATATTGCCCTTAAATGAAAATTTTCTTTTTATAGTGAAAGTGAAACTTAAAATAAAAATAAAAATCTGTCCAAGTGAAGTTAAAAATAAAAATAAAAAGGAAAAGTGAAAATTAAAATATGCCCAAATAAAAATGAAAGCGAAAATAAAACTAAAAAGGAAAATTGAAAATTAAAATCTGACAAAATAAAAATGAAAAGTAAATAAAAGTTTGTCAAAAATAAAAATGAAAGTGAAAACAAAGTGAAAATAGAATATTTTCAACGTAAAAATAAAAAAAAGTAACAATAAAAATTAACATTTTATATGTGATAGTAAAAATGATAGTGAAAAAAAAGTGAAATTATAAAAAATCAAATCAAATAATGAAACAATGAATAAAATAAAATAATGAAATAACGAATAGAATTAAATAATAAAGTAACGAATTTTGATTCGGTTTTTGTTTTAATTTGATATCCTTAGAAAAAACTGTGAATAAAAAAAATAAAAAAAAGAAAGAAAATTAAAAAATTTAAGTTCAAAGTAACACTTTCAAAAAAACCACCCACATGAAAATTATTTTTTTTTTTTGTAAAATTAATCAGAAATTTAATTTTCCTCCGTTTTTATTTCCGTTAAATTCAAAGTTGATGAGAAAGAAATTGTCAATTTTTCCGGAATAAAGATCATTTGAGTGGTAATTTGACTTCGATAGATAAACCCGAATGGCTGAACCACTAAAGTCAAATTGTAAATTCATCCTATATTGTCAACCGCCAATTCTCTTTCGTTTTATCCCTTTATCTCTCATACCCTTCATACATATAATGCAGGTTGTTCGGCGAATGTATTATTCCCTTGAAGGGCGCTCTTTGCCTGGAGGATAATACTCCGGCAAGAGGATTCTGGATGGTTTCCAGGAATTCGAAATAGCCTGACCGATTTAATCCCAGTCTCGCTAGACCACTCGGCGAAATTAGTCTTGATTTTGAAGCCTAGAATATGGGTAAGAGCTGCTTAATTCAGCCTCCATTGGTATTCGGCAATTTTAATTACAACCATTCAATGAAATATTAATTCATGTGTGTGTGTGTGTGTGACAAATTCATTGTCAAAATTGCGACACTATGTTTAATAAGATGGATTGTTTAATGAGAATTCAAGTGTTCTAATTTCTAATACGAAGGGAAAAAAAGGGTTTTTTTTACTGAAAATTTTTGCTCAAATTAAAATTGTGAATTAATCTAATTTTTAATCGTCTGAACAAAATTGACTTATACTACTGATAATTGAACATATTATTAACTATTTACGTATTGTCTGACTAAGTTCTACTACTACTACTGATTACTTTTATTAAATAGTTATTATGACTACTAATGACTCCAATAGTGAGCAATTAACAAATGTCTGACTTAAATTGACTTATACTACAAATAATAAATTTTAACAATCATTAGGTTCATGTCTGACAGTAAATGACTTTCACTACTGTAAATAAAAAGAACTTACAAAATTAAACTAAAAAAATACTAAACACAATGTCTGATTAAAATTGAATATTACTACTGATAATAAAAAATATTATTAACTCTTTAAGTATTGTCTTACTGACTTTTACTACTACTACTACTACTACTACTACTACTACTACTACTGTTACTAATTAATTTATTAAATCATAAATATAAATTTACTGATAAATTTCACTAAAATCAAAAAATTAAGAAACGTCTGACTCAAATTGACTTATACTACTAATAATATGTTTGACAGTAAATTACTTTGACTACCGGCAATAAAAAAAACTGAAAAGTGACAAGAAACCCTTTTGACAATGTCTGACAGTAAATTACTTTTAGTACTGGCAAATAAAAAAATAAAAAATACTAAACTCAACGTCTGACCAAAATTGACTCATACTACTGATAATAAAAAATATTATTAACTCTTTAGGTATTAACTGAATGAGTTTTACTACTACTACTATTGATAACTTTTACCAAACCGAAGTTATAAATTTATTACTGACACTAAAATTGTACAATTAATAAACGTCTGACTCAAATTGACTTATACTACTGAAATTAAATTTTATAAATAATTACGTTCATGTCTGACAGTAAATTACTTTTACTACTCTCAATAAAAAATTTATTAACACAAAGCACAACGTCTGACCAAAATTGACTCATACTACTGATAATCAATAATATTATTAACTTCTTAGGTTTTATATGAATGAGTTTTACTTATACTATTGATTACTTTTATTATATCGTAGTTATAACTTTACTACTGACATTAAAAGTGAGCAATTAACAAATGTCTGACTTAAATTGACTTATACTACTGATAATAAATTTTATTAACTGTTTGAGTAATGTCTGATAGTAAATGAATTTTACTACTGGCAATAAAAAAAGAAAAATCGAAACTAAAAAATACTAAATACAACGTCTGCCCAAAATTGACTTATACTACTTATATTCAAAAATTTAATAACTATTTAGGTATTATCTGACTGATTTTTATTACTAGCATTACTACTGATTACTTTTATGAAGTCATAAATATTACTTTACTACTGATACTCAAATTCAACAATTAACAAACGTCGGACTTAAATTGACTTATACTACTGATAATTAATTTTATTAACTATTTGAGTAATGTCTGACTAAAAAATTAACAAGTCTGACCAAAATAAACTTTACTACTGATTTTTACTAAAACCAGGCATTAAATGAACGTCTGATTTAAATTCACTTATACTACTGATAATTAATTTTATCAATTCTTTTTGACCCTGACTGGCGTTAAATTAATTTTACTATTGTCACTAAAAAAAATTAAAAAATTAAAGAGAAATTGACACGTCTGACCAAAATTAACTTGTACTACTGATAATTAAAAATATTTGTAACTATTTACGTATAGTCTGACTTATACTACTAGTACTGCCAGTTATTACTTTGATTAGGTCATAAATATGACTTTACTACTCATTTTTACTAAAATCGGATAATTAAGAACACAAGA